TATATCTCTGTATTATGTTGTCACTGATTATGTAGACTTACTAATATTTTGTTGTTTATACAGTGTACTAATGTTAGCCAGTTATATATCTCTGTATTATGTTGTCACTGATAATGTAGAAATCATCTTTGAGCTTAAAGCTTACCTCTGGCCATGAAAAAATGATTGGGAAATAAAAGCTTACCTCTGGCCATGAAGAAATGGTTGGGAAATAAAAGCTTACCTCTAGCCATGAAGAAATGATTGGGAAATAAAAGCTTAAAACAAAACAAGACAATGACACACTCAACCGAGAAGGACCCTCGATCAACAAAGTCACCGTTAAATAACTCAATACAGTCAAGGGTAGAATAATCAAAAGCTTCTAGATTATATCTTAATTGAAAACTATTTGCAATAATGTTGTAATAATACAGGTATAAATATCAATATATCAATCTGATAAAAAACTGGAATTTATGAGGGTTGATCTTTGTATCAATAGAGTAATGAACCATCAATATCTAAATCTGGTGAAACTGAATTTTCTGTCTAGAAGGTTCTGGATTATAAATTACATCTATATGTAGTTTGTAAGATATTCTCATTAATTATTACTGATATCATAAAGGATACATAAGGGTTTTCTTCTGACGGTAGACCATTGAGATCAAATATATTTAACTTGTCGTAGAATTGATTGACCATGAATGTCTCCACAAACTGTGAACTTCTCCCCCTGAAAATAGAATAAAAAGATTCCAAAGTTTTTCTAATATTTTAGAGTTTCTTAAATTAAAATGATAATAAATATTTAACCAATAGATCTTACCTTTGGCACTGTAATATCCACTAGACTGGGTTGTTTAACAAAGAACTTTTTTACTTCGACTAGAAACTATCAAAAACATTTAGTAAACATTGAGATTTACAAATTATTTTAAAAAAAACTCCGTAAATGTAGAACATGTAAAAATAATAAATATTTATGTTTCTGTTTATGGAACAGGATTTGATGTTTATTTACTGAATTAAAACATAAACAACATACCCTACTAAATCACAAATACATGTACTTATTATTTCCCCGATTATCAATGGAAGATCATTTTAGGTCTAAAGATCTATTACCTTAATCATGTTAATACTAAAATATCAAGCGTATTTATTCAGTGTTATGCCTAAATTCTTGCTTATCTGATAAGCGTATTTTCTGTTGAGTTTCTTTTGTTCCTTGAATGTTTGCATGAGATCTTTGACAAACTGTAGAGTCATCTTGCCGCCCTCAAATCGAGGCCCCTGGTAATCGTCCTCTATACCTGTAAAAAGTAGTGTTCAGTTGTCTGATTTGATGAAAGTTACCTAGGATTCTCGCCAAGGATTCATTATAATCCTTAGAGAATCACTTTTCCACCTAAATTTTCAAGATTTTAGTTACCCTTTCCAAACAGAAATTTAGTGGCAATGCTTTTAAATGGCAACTGAAATTAATAATTTTTTCATGCAAGGTTAAAAAAATTGATAGGTAGAGTAACATTTGAATTACCAAACAAAAATTCTACTCATTTTCCTCAATAATAATATGTCATAGAAAACTGACAACGGTCTTCAGGGGATGCTGACTCCTCCATGGCATCTGATCCCACCTCTGATGTTTTGGAGGTCTGAGTTTGCTCTGCTCCTACTTTGTATTGTTTAATGGACTTTTGAGCTTAAATACTATTCATTATCTCCATATATTTCATAACTTCAATATGTTCATAAAGAAAAAACAAACAATTTCACACATTATGTTTCACCCTAATATGGAATCCATGTTCATCAATCTAACCTTTGTATAAAGATAGTCCACTTTAGCCAACTAATGTGTGCAGATAATATTATACATTTATTGACTGAGTTCAAGGGCAACATGCATTTTGTTGTACCCAAGAACAAAACTGTTTGTTTGGTTTGAGGTTCAAAAAACGCATTTTGCTTGAGAACACCGTCAATAAATGTTTTACTCTTTTGTTATATCTTTCATTTTAGATATTTTTTGACATACATGTATCTTGTACTGTCTTCCATGATGTAACCTTAGGTTCATCACTGCTGAACACCAACAAATGCAAATGAGATTAAGCTCCGCCCATTGTGTGACATAAGCGATACTACATCTCACTCAGCGGTCAAACATGATTTTTATATGCCCGCTCAGTAAAACATTAAAAATGTTATGACTTTTTTTCATATAGATATATGTTATAGGAATAACAAATAGTACATACATGGTATCAGTACAAATACGTACTCATAGAACCCAGATCGATGCTATCAGCCACTGATTTATGATTTTCCTCCACAGCTATCGCTCTCTGGAAAGCCTGCATCTGGACAATTTTCTTACACTCGCTGTACTTTGCTTTCGCATCTTTGTCATTTGGCCGCACTTTTATGACCTAATTTAGTAGAAACATTTAAATGACATTTATTTTATTTTTTAACTGTAGGATTGAGATATCAAAATAGAATACAATAGATATACTAAGTATACAGCTTGTTGGCTTTGAATATGGGATCTCTGGCACAAAAACAATAAAGTGTAATGAATCTAATGAATCCAATACAATAGTTAATAGAAGGTTTTGCATATTGTATTGTTACAATGTAATGTCACAGATACAATTCTTACCGATTCAAAATCTTTGAGAGCGACTTTGAATTTCCCCAGAGCCATATTGGCCGAAGCTCGCCTATAGTAAGCCTGTCAAAATAAATGACAATACAGTATAATTTAGTATGTACATGTACTTTAAGAAATTCTGAAAGATCCTGAGAAACTCTCAAAAGGAAACAGAGATTTTGAGACAGTGATACAATACCTGTAACATTAGCTTATCTGAAAGTAGCTGCCTAACACATTGACCCTACTCAGAATGCACTCTTGAGTATCAAATAACTTGTGGAAATGAAAACATTGTATGCAGGTGATAGAAGAATATTTTAAATTAATCAACTTTGTCTATACACTTACTGGAAATAAATGTTCAAAATATTTTTGGCAAAACCAGAAGGCATATTTCTAAAAAAAAAAATCTTATATCTGCAAATGATCTGTGCATTGCCAAAAATTCAAATTCTGTAGCTACTGTAATAAACTCCTCTGGACAATGTCAAAATATTAAATGATTGAGGCGCTGAAATTTAAGGATATCCAATCCTCAGACAGGAAGGACAACTCTTTCATCTATAATTTTAATTCGAAAATTCCTAATTTGAACTTAAAATCTTCTAATGCAACAATTTTTATTTATGTTTTTCAATGTGATTCACCAAGCATTCAGAAGAGACCATATAAACAGAGGTCACGTGTTGCAGTTGGTTTTCACACAAGCAAGACCCCTCACTGCTCAATGGCCATGAGTGCCGAGTATACAACGAAATTTGCAGCCCTCCAACGGCAAGTGTTGGCATCTCCATATGGATGGGTTAAAAACTCTAGAGAGGGACATTAAACAACATACATTTCATCATCATCAATGTGAATCAATGTTCTTTGAAGTTTTTTAGAAAAGGTTTTATACGAGGGCCGTTCAAAAATTACGCGGACTTGTTGCACAGAAAAATTATTTGACGACATAATCGGGCAAAATGTCATACATAATATAAAAGAATCTTTACTTATATGGTCTTCAAAATTTCATATCAAAATGTTGTAAATTGGTATCAATTTTGAGTGATTTTTCAAGACATATCATTAAGACACGGAGCAGCAAAATCTTTGACGTTAAAGGCATTATAAAAAAAATATGTGATTGAGTTTTCATTTTCTCAACATTTTCCCAAGAGTACCTGTACAGTTTGAGTTACCTTATCTACTCAACATCCAAACAACATTTCTTGTGAAGCTTAAAATCTATTAAACAAGTAAAGAATATTCTTTTTTTGTTTTAAAACCAAAAACTTCAGGTATTTATCAGAAATAGTGTGATATTGGTGACTGTCAATCACGTTCTTTACAGTCCGGATAACGTTTTCGTCGATAATCTTCTTTCCGTCCTCCCGTATAGTCTTTTTACAGAGGATTAACGGTCTTAAATTTCAATTTGCTATTTGTGGACGAATGTCACGAATACCCTAATTTACTACATGTTTTATTATGCATATTTTGGATCTATGTTGGCGATATCTCGAGCATTACACATAATTTAACAAAATGTGGTGCGCCGTCAATTCAGAAGAAGTCATTTTCACGGTAATCGCATCAGAGAAAAATCACTATATTTCTGTTAGTACTTCGAATATCACGCTACAAATCTATATACATGATAATAGAACAATTTAAAGATACATTTGAGAAAATTATCGAAAAATATCGCGAATTATAGTATATAGATGAGCTAAATTTTGGATTCCGCTTGCTTTTGCTTCAAATGTTTTGTCGTGCTGCGTACCTCTCATCAGCGATATCAACATACCGATAATTTTAGCAGAATTTTTTTAGAATTCAGATATTTTGCCCAAAATTTATTGGAATCTTTAAGATACATATTTCTATGAAACTTCATAACTATATGACGTCTATAAGAGTAAATAATAGTGCTCACAGTCCGCGTAATTTTTGAACGGCCCTCGTAAATTGATATTTTTATCCAACAAAAAGTATTTTACAAAAAAAAAAAAAAAAAAAAAAAAAATGACTGTTATGAAATCAAAATTCCTTTAATCTAGCCTTACATACCATTGATTATTAGCATGATATAATTTGGTTTTTGCAATGATAGGAAACATTAATGCGCAAAGCATTATAAAATGATTGAAGTAGAAACAAGAATCTAAATTAAGTACCATGTACTTGATGTAAGTATAAAAATTGTTTTAAAAAAATATTCAAGAGTCTATATACTGAAAACTCTCATCCTGAAATGTATTTATTGAATGATTTTCCATTAGAAAATACACAATAGGTAAATTTAAATCCCCAGTACATACAAAACAGGAAATTTAAATACCTGACAGGTAGATAAAACAAATACCAAGTGATCAAAGTAACCAGGGAGGATTTGATCAACAGGACGCCATTACTGTCTGAAATAAGGTAGGATATCCTATATCTATCTAACATTAATGATGCAGGCCCTGTACTGGCCTTTAGCATGGTTTGAAAATTCAAAATAGTATTTGAAAACAAAGGATTATATACAAAGTTTCTTATATTCTGAGATTAGGGGTAAATTAGTTTAACCCCCTCCACCCTCCAAGGAATTCTTTAAACTGCACTCAATTATGATGGATCCAAAGAATAGTTTGTATTACATACAATGTAATGCATTTTGCAATCTAATTAAAATTAGATGTTCCGAATCCGTTATCGCTTCTCAAACGAGAATCGATAGCGGATTCGGAACATCTAATTTTAATTAGATTGTGCATTTTGTGGTTGTCAATTTATAACTTATCTTGTTTACATTTTTTTTAATGCTAAAAGTTTTACCATCTCATATGATCCCTCTTGTATCGGAAGTTTAAAGGACATCAATGTAGTATAAGGGGAGTTAAAGAGGACTTTCTTTGGAAGTGTATTTGATTGTTGTTTGACGTTTCCAAATCAAACATTTTCTACTCCTCTTCATGTATCAGTGAAGGCTTTCAGAATTAAGCATTTGAGCAGTGAGGGTTCTTTTGTACCATATTATTGCCTACCATGTCAAGTGACCATAAATCAAAGGTCTCATCAAACCTGTGATTTTCACTTTTTTGTTAACAACCTTAAGTCAAGACAGAATGATCAGACCTAATTTATAAAATACCTTATCTTTGTCTCAGGAAAAATCATTAAAGTTTCAACATTCGTTACTTTATATCCATTAGAGAAAAATAAAATAGACCCAAATTTATACTTTTTTCCGCGAGTGAACAGCTTAGACTTGTCAAAATGATATCAAGACACATCAATAAATAATGATTATAATCATGAAATTATATATCATATATTATCCAATTCAGATCCACATTTAATTATGGACCCCCGTACCAGTGCCCAGGACGTAATGCGATGTGACCTGTGCGAGACCGCTGTGGTACAGATGCACTGTGATACATGTCTTGTCAACCTGTGTAAGGCCTGTGTGGGAGAACACATGATTTCTGATGAATCCAAGAAACATGAAATTGTCAAATTCAAGCTTCGAAAAACTACTCCCCAATACCCAGGATGCACATTTCATAGGGAACGATGTGAAATGTACTGTAAACAATGTGACAGTCCTGTCTGCATCAGTTGCATTGCATCTGATCAACACAAGGGTCACGCATTTTTGAAAATGCTTCAACTATTGGATGAAAGAAAAAACAAAATTATGAAAGACCTCATTGAATTAAATGAGACAATTTATCCAACCTATCAGGACATTGCCTCTGATGTACAAAGCAGAATGAGTCAGTTAGAAAAGGAATATGGAGATCTCTCAACAGCCATAACAAAACATGGAGAGGACTGGCACAGAGAAATTGACAAACTTGTCAAGAAACTTAAAGCTAAAGTTGATGAGATTAAAAGTACACAGTTACAAACTCTACAGAAACATCTGGATGAAATAAACAAGAACATTTCAGACATCAAGGATGAAATAGATTCAAACAATGTTATTGTAAATGAAAATGATATTTCAAAACTATTCAACATAAACAGATACAGAGATCTTCCAGAGAAATATGTGCCGTCTTTACCGAAATTTACTCCAGGCAGAATTGGAGAACTTTGTAAACTGTTTGGAGTTTTATCAGCAAGTTCTTTATCTTCAGTTAAACATGGCTACACTATGAAGACAACACAGAAATCACCAGAAGCTGGATCCTCTCCTCCAGTCAAACGGCTGCTTGATGAACCAGAGACTGTCACCACCATAGACACCGATTATAGTCGTAACGTGCACCTTTACAATGTGGCCTGTCTGAGTGATGAAGAAATCTGGACAAATGGGAATGACAACACCATGAAACTCTACAGCATCAATCAGGGATCACTACTCAAGTCAATCACAACAACGTCAGGGAATAAACCACAGGACATAGCAGTGACAAAAAGTGGAGATCTAGTTTATATTGATTATGATGATAGAACTGTTAACATTGTGAAGAATGAGAAGATAGAGGTGGTGATCAGACTACAGAACTGGAAACCTTGCGGTGTCTGTAGTACTTCCTCTGGCGACTTCCTGGTTATCATGATCAGAAATGATGACAAACAAACAAAAGTTGTCCGTTACTCTGGCTCCACAGAGAAACAGAAACAAAGCATTCAGCTTGATGATAAAGGTAACTCTCTCTATTCATCTGATAGTTATATCAGATACATAAAAGAGAACAAGAACCTGGATACCTGTGTGTCTGACAATGGAGCTACAGCAGTGGTGGTGGTCAATCAGGCCGGGAAACTGAGATTCAGGTACACTGGACATACTCCTGCTCCAAAGAACGAACCATTCTATCCACGAGGAATCAGCACAGACAGTCAGAGTCACATCCTTACAGCTGATTTATTCAATGACTGTGTCCACATCATAGACCAGGATGGACAGTTCCTCCGTTACATAGACTGTGGACTGAGTAGACCCTATGGACTGTGTATATATACGAATGACAACCTGTTTGTTGCTCAATGGGTAAACAAACAAGTAAAGAAATTTAAATATCTCAAATGAATTCTAGCCCTACATATTAAAAAAAAACTTTTCTTTAAGGAATTATACATCTTCATTCATTTTGTACAATTTATACAAATGACTATCTCTTTCTTACGTAACATTGAGAACATCAACAAGAATTGAAACTCCATATCGTGAGCTCCACAAATATTTTGTTTCATAAAATTTATTTCATCAATCAGTTACCTATCATAAGTTTATACTTTGAACACAATTTACGTTAAGTTGTCATGATTTTATACTTAAATTAGATGACAAACATTTACTGCCACTTTGCCATCAGACAAGTGCACACTAAAGTATATGGGTAATTGTCCAGATCTTGTCAGGTGAGGGAATTAAAGAACAATAAAAATGAGTAAATAAAGAGATTACATTATTTTGTGTCATAAGAAAACAAATGCGAATGTATATGATAAAAAAAAAGTCGTTGTTCTTTTTTCACTGATGTTATTTTTAACAATAGTCAATCCACAATTTACAAAAGCTGTTTCCCTTTGCGGGGTCAACAAAAAGGTCAAAAGGGGAAGATTGATGTTCCTCCTCTTTATGCTCTGATAAATCTACTGTACTCAAATTTGGCTCTCTCGAAATATGATATCCAAGGATGCTATGATTTCTGGCCCCTTTACCCTCGTGTATGACCTAATTTTCAAAAAAGCCACTTTTGATTTAAATTTTTGAATGACCTAGAATAAGGTGTTCGTATTTGACACAGTTCTCCATAATTAATGACATCTCACCCACAGAGACACCGACCACAATTATTTGACTTTGCTTGTTCTGACTTTGTATACGTACGGAGCAAAGTAAAATAACAAAAATCATTGATTTTTATCATTTTATTAAAACTTGCATTTCCTGACAATAAAATATCAGCTGCCACAAATATGTAGCTATGAACAGTGTTTTTGCATAAAATACTTTGTCTTGGTCATTTATATAGCCGTAGACTTTGATCGACTACATTTATTTAAGACTTCTACTTATAATGATCACTTAACTCTTAATTCGGCCGAATCTTTATAATTTTAAATTACTTAAAGTTCAGTGCCTGCACATTGATGATGCTGTCTTAAAAAGACTGATTTATAATGTGCATAATGTGGATTATGTGGTTTCTATGACATTGGGTGATAAACCCATGAGGTACATTATAAGTTACATGTGGTCTGTTCTTTTCCTTCTATGAAGATTAAAACAATCCAAACAGGTTGTTTACATAGGCCATAGGTTTTACATTAGGGTGTGGCTGAAACAGAAAGCATTGAATACAGTTAAATGAGCTTAATACATTTTTGTTTCACACTTCTTTTACTAAATATTTTATTAAAATGAGGATTCTCATATTTATACATGTACAATATATTATCTATTTCTTACACATGTATTTACATACATATACATTAAATAAGTATATATAATCAAATGCACATACCACAGCATCAAATGATGTAAACTTGGGTGTAAGGTCATCTCCTCTCAAGGTCATAAAGGCCCCTTTGTTCCCCATCGTATCACTGTCAACAACAAAATACTTTTCACTGACAGAAATTAAAATATATAGCTCTTAGCAAATAAATTCCAGATGTAAAATATTACCCTTCCTTGCACATACCTATGTAAAATTTAAGCCCATACATGTACCTTCAAATGGGAATCAATACTTAGGTTTACATTTAAAAAAAATATCATATATATTATTATATTATTATACTTTTAAGTTTTAACATTCAAATACACGTCTGGGATGTTCTAGAAATATTGTGAATTTACAAAATCCCAGTACAATGCAGAGGACACTTTTTTTCTGAGTGAAGTTTTAGTATAAGAAAACATCATTTAGATGCTGGGCCTTCCCCCAACACTTTAGTTGCTGCAAGGTTGAGATCAGGCAGATTCCACGTTTTTTTTTTCATAAAGTACAAAAATATAAGAAAATTTCCATGTAGACTTCTGAAATAGCATTTTTTATTGCTATAATATAAAAGACAATATATTATGTGCCCACTATATAATATTTTGCTAGTAATCTCTGTATAAAGCTTTCCTTTTATTTATTTTTGTTCTCTCTGAACAACTTACCAGTAATTAGGTGCTGAGAAGACAGTTATACATTTCCCATCGTGAGAGACCTCATATCCCTCTGGCTTAACTTCATGACTTCGTATAACGTACTCCAAATTGTTCCGTTCCAGAAACTTCCTCGTTACGTCAGGTCCAAATATGGTTCCCACCCCACGCTTACTCTCAGCCCGACCAGACATTGGTTGAGGATCGGACCATAGAAGCTCGCACATTAAACCTGATAAGTACAAGTTTTCTTCTATTAAATCAAGAGGTCCACATGTTATGGGACGCATGCTTACATCTCTGTTACCTGTGGGAAATGTACCTGATTCAGGGGGTTGTCTGTTTCTGTCAATTTTCCTGAGATCATCCAGGGTCACATTGTCATCTTTAAACAAACCACCGTGCATTACCTACAGTCATAAACAAACCACCGTGCATTACCTACAGTCATAAACAAACCACCGTGCATTACCTACAGTCATAAATAAACCACCGTGCATTACCTACAGTCATAATTCAATTAACTGGAGAAATTGGAAGAGACCTTATAAACAGACATGTTGATGCGCATAACTCTTCTTCAGCAAATTTCATTCACCTTAATTAAATGCCATATGGCCCGATTCTTCACACATTTTCAGGATACAATGAACAATGGTGAAAAGTGTCTTTGTAAATTATTAACTTTTCTGCAAGTGACCTTGAACTTGGATAGGTGACCTTAAAATTGTTTTTGATAATATTTTCAGTGAATGTGTCATCTTTGCTTAGTATTACAGGACATTATTCAAATTCAAGACAAGCATTGGGGGGGGGGGGGTTAAGTAAACTGGTGTAGGAAGAGATTTCAAAGAATGTATTAAAATTAATATTTATAAATACAGCTTATAGGTTAAAGTTCCTCATGTATGTAAAATCATGGTAGGGGGTAACCATGAAATCAGTGAAAACTGAACTCTAATGACAGATAATGATTCCACAAAAGCGCCAATGTTTTTGAACAGCATATATACGAGATATGCTCCAACCACAAATTGAATATTTTTAGATGACCATACATTAGAATTATTTTATAATAAGTTATAAGCAAGTTTTGTGTTGTGCCCTTATGTTGTCACTGATTATGCAGTGTATACTTACTAATATTTTGTTGTTTGTATAGTGAGCTAATGGAAACCAGTTAAATATATATCTCTGTATTATGTTGTCACTGATGATATAGACTTACTAATATTTTGTTGTTTATACAGTGAGCTAATGGTAACCAGTTAAATATATCTCTCTGTTTTATGTTGTCACTGATAATGTAGACTTACTAATATTTTGTTGTTTATACAGTGAGCTAATGGTAACCAGTTAAATACGAGGGTTGTTCGAAAAGTTCGTGGACGATGTCCATCTTCGTTATATTACTCACTGGAAATTCAAAACAAGCACATTATAATATGTAAAAATATTTGCTTTGTTGATGTGTGAAGTTTCATTCCATTCGATTTAACACAAATAAATTTACTTCATTTTAAAATCAACATGTTTTGTACCCGCAGAGCACACAAAACGGCAATGTAACGTCAAGACATAGCGTCGAAAATTTATAATAGATACTATACCTATATATTTCACACAGAATATTCCAATGCCCATTCATTAAATTATTTTTCTAATACTTGACATTTATTTTTTAAGAATTGATCTCATATTGTATAATTTTCTTTTGTTAAGGTTTTAATTTCTTTTAGTACTTAACTCTGCTTTCTCAGGATAAGCAACTCTGAAGCGCCTTTGTCTTTCATTTACGTTTCAAATTTTAAAGTTTTGTTCAGATGTTTACAATAAAACCGTTTCTTCACAGGTCATCCTCATCCGATACAGAGTCCCTGTCACTCAAATATTGCCTGTACTATTTGTACATACATGCACAACTCGCTTGTGACATATTTTCTTGATTCCTTTAACATTTTTAGAGTTTATTCAGGATTTTACCTAAGAAAAACACAAAATTGCTTCGGTACCTGCTGCTCTGTGACGTTCTAAAACGTCATCATTTTTGTCGTTTTCAATAAGGACAACTTATCTTCTCAAGTTGATTTCTTTTCAACAAAGCAACATATAAAACCATCATTTGGTACACGTATCGATGTTACAATTTATAATTTGAATTTCTAGGTAGTTTTTCGTTTTTCCTCCAGTTTACAGAGAATATGACTATAGACATTATTTATTGTATTGTCTGTAACTGACTAAATTTTACCTGCTCCGCGATCCGATTTTTGCATTTTTAAAATCTGGATAAGTTTTTAATTAATCGTAATATGTTGTCAAAATTAATACATATCATTTGGATTTATTGTTAAAATATTTCTATCAAATTTAGATAACATATAACGTCAAATAAAAAAGATATGGCAGTTGTCCACGAACTTTTCGAACAACCCTCGTATATATCTCTGTATTATGTTGTCACTGATTATGTAGACTTACCAATATTTTGTTGTTTATACAGTGTACTAATGGTAGCCAGTTAAATATATCTCTCTGTTTTATGTTGTCACTGATTATGTAGACTTACCAATATTTTGTTGTTTATACAGTGTGCTAATGGTAGCCAGTTAAATATATATCTCTGTTTTATGTTGTCACTGATTATGTAGACTTACCAATATTTTGTTGTTTATACAGTGTACTAATGGTAGCCAGTTAAATATATCTCTCTGTTTTATGTTGTCACTGATTATGTAGACTTACCAATATTTTGTTGTTTATACAGTGTACTAATGGTAGCCAGTTAAATATATCTCTCTGTTTTATGTTGTCACTGATTATGTAGACTTACCAATATTTTGTTGTTTATACAGTGTACTAATGGTAACCAGTTAAATAAATATCTCTGTATTATGTTGTCACTGATTATGTAGACTTACTAATATTTTGTTGTTTATACAGTGTGCTAATGGTAACCAGTTAAATATATATCTCTGTATTATGTTGTCACTGATTATGTAGACTTACCAATATTTTGTTGTTTATACAGTGAGCTAATGGTAACCAGTTAAATATATATCTCTGTATTATGTTGTCACTGATTATGTAGACTTACTAATATTTTGTTGTTTATACAGTGTGCTAATGGTAGCCAGTTAAATATATATCTCTGTATTATGTTGTCACTGATTATGTAGACTTACTAATATTTTGTTGTTTATACAGTGTGCTAATGGTAACCAGTTAAATATATATCTCTGTATTATGTTGACACTGATTATGTAGACTTACTAATATTTTGTTGTTTATACAGTGTGCTAATGGTAGCCAGTTAAATATATATCTCTGTATTATGTTGTCACTGATAATGTAGACTTACTAATATTTTGTTGTTTATACAGTGAGCTAATGGTAACCAGTTAAATATATGTCTCTGTATTATGTTGTCACTGATTATGTAGACTTACTAATATTTTGTTGTTTATACAGTGAGCTAATGGTAACCAGTTAAATATATATCTCTGTATTATGTTGTCACTGATTATGTAGACTTACCAATATTTTGTTGTTTATACAGTGTGCTAATGGTAGCCAGTTAAATATATATCTCTGTATTATGTTGTCACTGATAATGTAGAATTACTAATATTTTGTTGTTTATACAGTGAGCTAATGGTAACCAGTTAAATATATATCTCTGTATTATGTTGTCACTGATAATGTAGACTTACTAATATTTTGTTGTTTATACAGTGAGCTAATGGTAGCCAGTTAAATATATATCTCTGTATTATGTTGTCACTGATTATGTAGACTTACTAATATTTTGTTGTTTATACAGTGAGCTAATGGTAACCAGTTAAATATATATCTCTGTATTATGTTGTCACAGATTATGTAGACTTACTAATATCTTGTTGTTTATACAGTGTACTAATGGTAACCAGTTAAATATATATCTCTGTATTATGTTGTCACTGATAATGTAGACTTACTAATATTTTGTTGTTTATACAGTGTGCTAATGGTAGCCAGTTAAATATATATCTCTGTATTATGTTGTCACTGATTATGTAGACTTACTAATATTTTGTTGTTTATACAGTGAGCTAATGGTAGCCAGTAAAATATCTCTGTAAATAGGTCGGCCATTTGTGACGTATATCTACACCGGTTAAGGATTATTTACACTTCATCAGCTATCATATTTCTATTATGTTGAAAGAAAAATACATGCAGTATTTAAAATTTATCTGGTACATAAATTCAAAAACTTTGCTGGTAGACAATAGTCAAAAAGGCATTATTTTACTGTATATTCTGCCATTCATCGGATCTTACAATTTCACAAACTGTTGATACAACTATTCATTAATTAGGTACACATATTTCAGAGAATCTAATTTTATTTTTTACAATTATCACAATTACTGGAATTTAGATAGATAACATGAATTGAGTTGGGGGGTTTGTCAAATAAGGATACTTGGACTTGACTTCTCCCTCAAAACCATATATCTGATTCATCGTTATACTCTTATGGTTACCTGAAATAGAAACATTTACATGTACATAAGATGAAAATCATCTAAAAGTTTGTATAAACACAACAATTTTGTTTACAGTAGAGCAAAAAACAATTTTTTTTTTTTCCATTGTCGTTTCTTATTAAAAATGTTTTAGCTATGTTGCAAAAATATCTCAACCAATAAAATTTATTGATAGCTAGAAATCATCTGTGAGCTTAAAGCTTACCTCTAGCCATCAAGAAATGATTGGGAAATAAAAGCTTACCTCTGGCCATGAAGAAATGATTGGGAAATAAAAGCTAAAAACAAAACAAGACAATGACACACTCCACCGAGAAGGACCCTCGATCCACAAAGTCACCGTTAAATAACTACATACAGTCAAGGGTAAAATAATCAAAGGCTTCTAGACAACATTAAACAAGAGGCCCATGGGCCACATCGCTCATCTGAGCACTGTGGCTAGGAAAAGGTAGAAATTGGTTTATTATTGAAAAGTTTAAATCCAAAAGTAGTCACATGACCAATCATGGCTTTGCTATTCTTGTGAAAATTATTTTTAAAGAATTTTCCTATATATGTCAATGTAAAACTTTGATCGGCCATTTTGGCTCCGCCCTATCCCCAGAGGTCATGATTTGAACAAACTTGAATCTACACTACCTGAGGATGCTTCCATATAAATATGATCAATTAAGTTTTTCCTTTTTCATTACTGTCTGAAATCAGGTAGGGCATCCTATCTATATTAATCTGATGATAATGATGCAGGCCCTTTAGCAAGGTTTGAAAATTCTAAATTCATATTATTTGAAAGCAAAACATTATACAAACTTTCTAGTATTCTGAGATAAGGGGTAAATTATAGTTTGACCCCTTCTCGGCCTCCCAGAAATTCTTAAAACTGCACTCAATTATGATGGATCGAAAGAAGAGCTTGTACTATTTACAATGTATACATTTTGTGGTTGTCAATTTATAACTTTTTTTTTTAAATTTGTAATGCTAAAAGTTTTACAATCTCATATGGCCCCATTGTAGTAACTACTTAATTTAAAGGACATCAATGACTCAATGTAGTATAAGGGGAGTTATAGAGGACTTTCTTTGGAAATGTATTTTGATTGTTGTTTGACATTTCCCAATCAAACATTTTTCACTCCTCTTCATGTACCAGTGAAGGCCATCTCAATCAGGCCTTAACAGTGATGTTCTTTATCTTCTCACTGCCTACCATGTCAAGAGACCTCCATTTTTAGGTCTCATCAAACAGACCTGTGATTTTTACTTTTTAAAAATTTGTTAACAACTTAAATTGAAGACAGAATGATCAGATCTAATTTATAAAATACCTTATCTTTAGCTCAGGAAAATTCATTGATTGAAGTTTCAAAATTCGTTACTTATATTCACTAGAGAAAAATAAATTAGACACAAATTTATATTCTTTTTCTTTCAGTGACCTTGGACTTGATAAAGACTTTGGGACAGGTAAATAAATAATAATGATTCTAAAATGAAATTCTGAATATATGTATATCTATTTCAGATCCACATATTTAATCATGGACCCCCATACCAGCGCCCAGGACGTAATGCGATGTGACATGTGTGAGACCGCTGTGGTACAGATGCACTGTGATACATGTCTTGTCAACCTGTGTAAGGCCTGTGTGGGAGAACACATGATTTCTGATGAATCCAAGAAACATGATATTGTGAAATTCAAGCTTCGAAAAACCACTCCCCAATACCCAGGATGCACATTTCATAGAGAACGATGTGAAATATTCTGTAAACAATGTGACATTCCTGTCTGTATCAGTTGTGTTGCATCTGATCAACACAAAGGTCACACATTTTTGAAAATGCTTCAAGTTTTGGATGAAAGAAAAAACAAAATTATGAAAGACGTAACTGAATTAAATGAGAGAATCTATCCCACCTACCAGGACATTGCCTCTGATGTACAAAACAGAATGAGTCAGTTAGAAAAGGAATATGGAGATCTCTCAACAGCCATAACAAAACATGGAGAGGACTGGCACAGAGAAATTGACAAACTTGTCAAGAGACTTAAAGCTGAAGTTGATGAGATAAAAAATAAACAGTTACATACTCTACAGAAACATCTGGATGAAATAAACAAGACACTGTCTGACATCAAGGATGAAATTGATTCAAATGATGTTATTATAAATGAAAATGATATTTCCAAATTATTTAGTCACTGTGTTACATATGACATAAACAGATATAGAAATCTTCCAGAGAAAATAGTGCCCTGTTTACCACAATTTACTCCAGGGGAAATTGGGGAAAAACTCAGTAAAGTGTTTGGAGTTTTATCATCAAGTTCCCCCAATTCAGATAAACATGGCTACAGCATGAAGACAACACAGAAATTACCAGAAGCTGGATCCTCTCCTCCAGTCAAACAGCTGCTTGATGAACCAGAAACTGTCACCACCATAGACACTGAATTTGAAAAACTTTTCTATGTGGCCTGTCTGAGTGATGAAGAAATCTGGACAAGTGGAAATGACAGCAGCATGAAACTCTACAGCATCAATCAGGGATTACTACTCAAGTCAATCACAACAAAGTCAGGGAAACAGCCATTTGACATAGCAGTGGCAAAAGATGGAAATCTAGTTTATACTGATTACAATGATAGAACTGTGAACATTGTGAAGAATGAGAAGATAGAGGAGGTGTTCAGACAACAGAACTGGAAACCTTGGGGTGTATGTAGTACCTCCTCTGGTGATCTCCTGGTTATCATGATCAGTGATGATAAAAAACAAACAAAAGTTGTCCGTTACTCTGGCTCCATAGAGAAACAAACCATTCAGTTTGATGATAAAGGTAAACCTCTCTATTCATCTGGTCTTTTTATCAGATACATAACAGAGAACAGGAACCTGGATATCTGTGTGTCTGACAATGGAGCTAAAGCAGTAGTGGTGGTCAATCAGGCCGGGAAACCGAGATTCGGGTACACTGGGCATACTCCTGCTCGAAATTACCGAACATTCAATCCACGAGGAATCACTACAGACAGTCAGAGTCACATCCTTACAGCTGATCATTACAATGACTGTGTCCACATCACAGACCAGGATGGACAGTTCAGAACCATTAAGACTATGTACATATACAAATGACAATCTGTTTGTTGTTCAGTGGGGAAACAAACAAGTGAAGAAAATTAAATATCTCAAATGAATAATAACACTACATATTTAAGAAATCACTGTCTAGTTAGTATAGTGTGCTAGGGCATCAAGAATAGTGGAAAACATGGGATAATTTGCATAAAGGGCGAATGCATAAATTATCTCATGTTCTCACTATCGTTGTTGTCCCTGGCATACTATAATAACTTGACAGTGATTCCTTTTATTTCCATTTCATTGTAAAATAAAATTGTAGATTTTAGATTTTAAAATTGTTGATTTAGATTTAAATAACAAGAGGACTCCCATGTCAATTTCAATAGTCCTCGCCCATGCAAATTTGGCCTCTATAGCATCAGACACAGAGACAGATGCACACGAGATAAGCATGCATATTAGGCCTCCTTAGCTCCTGACCTATCGACCTGCCTAAGTTACATTCAGTTAGATTTATCAAGAAATCAACTAACTTTCAAAGAGTTATCACAGAAAAAAAAATAGAAATGGAAATATTTACATAACTTTTCTTTAAGGAATTATATATTATCATTCATTTTGTACAATTTTTGTACAAATACAATGATAAATCTCTATCTTATGTAACATTAAGAAAATCAACCATAAGAATTGAAACTTCATACCGAGAACTTCACAAATATTTTCTTTCATGATCATCTATGATCCCAAAATTTATTTCATCAATCATTTACCCATCTTAAGTTTACACTTTGATCACAATTTACGTAAAGTTGCCATGGTTTTATAACAGATAACAAACATTTACTGCCACTTTTTTGAAGAAATCAAAAAACAATAAAAAGGGATAAATAAAGCGATTACATTATTTTGTGTAATCAGAAAACAAATGTAATTTTTATATGACAAAAATTTTTCTTTGTTCTTTTTTCATTGATGTTATTTTTAACGATAGCTCAATCGACACTTTTCAAAAG